CTGATGAAGGCAAATTTTACGTTTATTTAAATATGTATATATTTGTCCTGGGTACGATTTTAAACTACATCCGGTTGTGGAGTCTATGGACTTGGAAGAATTAGGTTACCCTTTACCACAAATACCTCCAGGTCATCCTTGGGCAAGGTGTAGTACCTGTCAGCCTTGGGTGCCAACTTCCCACATAATAAGTTTGGTTGACGTCAGTAAGGGCATACGGACGTGAAACTCCTGCACAAACAGATCCGCATAGGTGGACAATATTTCATGTAAATATGTAAATATATGTTTCAGTTGTTCTTAGCACTTGGCAGGGGGGTCGTAACCTCTTGTAGTAAGAACCAGAGTGACTGGCCTACCAAAGGGGTGCTAAGTATTTCATAGTACAAGTTATCTGTCACATACTTAATGTAATTTCGTTTTACTTACCCGTAAATTAAAATCACTATATTTTCTTGTAATGTTCTCAGACTGTGGCGAATGACTCTTTTGGTACTGGAGTTACTTGTAATTCAATCTGTCCTGCAGAAGTGTTAACCGGATGTGAGTATTTCAAAATTTTCTACATTGTAATCTCAGCGCAACATGGACATTTCCTTTAACTTCTCAATTCAAACTGGAACGAGTTTTCTACAGGCCTATCAAATAACATTGATAGGTTTTCAAATGACGTCTTTGCGCACTGTGTTCGTTGAATGGCTGGTTGATTCAACTTCCGCTGAAATTTGTAAATACATGTACTTATAAAGATGAAGGGAATACCGCTGTTGCACTGAGAGTAATATGCAATCGTAAAAATCCGAGCTCAATTAATAAGATTTTTTTTATTGCGATTGTATCACATCATACCTTATATGGATATTTGTTTTGTACCAGACCCCGCCAATACAAACTGCAATGCACATTTGCGTTGGTTTTCTTAACACTATGAATGGAAGTGAATGCATTGGTTTGTGTTCACCAACACTTCAAAGCTTTAAGATACTGTTTTCTTCTAATGTACGACAGACAAATGTGGAAGAAGTTATATTAAAACTTTTTATATGTAAAAATAAGCATATCATGTCCAACTAGCGTATGCACTTGTGTATAAACATTAAATAACTGCAACTCTATCGTCGAATTTAGATAGCCCTACTGTCACGTGGTGTTCACGTTCATACAAAAACACCAGGCTTGTGTGAGATACAAATTTACAAAACATCGAATGTGAACACAAGACAAAGGTCACAGTGACGTCAAAGAACATGACATGGGATTCGACAGATGTTCGTTCCTCGATATGTTTATGCATAACATGAGATCATGTCGTAGAAGTAGTTAAAATCGTATAATCTGACATTTACGATCGCAAGCAGATGTGAATGTGTGAGTTTGTTCGTTGAATACTAAATTAATATTTTGTCATTTTAGTGAATATTGCTTACATAAAGCTCAATGCAACAGCGTCAGGTCTGTCTTATGAAGAATGTGAAGTAAGTGATTGTGCGGTTAATTTATTATAATACGTACGACAATTTAGAATGATTCACTTTGTTGTGCTATTATTAAAAAACAAGTTAAATTTATGTATAATTTTTCGAATGTTGTTATGCACTCAACGTCCCACTTCTGAAATTCAATTTCCTTTCAGTACCTAGCATCGGTTGAAGTGTGGCTTTAAACATTTTCGATGGTTTAATGTTTCCCGCCAATGTGAACATTTTGCACATTTGTTGGATTTTTATTGTTAATTTTGATCAATGAGACATAATTTCGCACCGCTATTGGTTTTTAATAACATAATTTGTGAACAAAATATTCCAAAGATTTGCGGATTTCATGTTGTGAAACGTGACCATATGACCAATTGCGAGTAATTGTTGTTTTTCAAGGACATTATTAACTTTTCAGTTTACATTCATTTACAGAAGAAACTTCTGCAAGAGTCCAATCCGAACGGGAAATTTGTTACCATTGAACAGGTACGGGTACGCCCACTTTTCTACTGCCGAAACTGTTTTCAAACAGATTCGTCCAAGCAACAAACAGAAACATTTAGAGTGAAATTTGCTAAAGTGAACATCATCATTCATTTCCATAACATCGTATAAATAGAGCTGAACAATTACATCAATTCTTCGACGCGCGCGTCACTCAAAAAGGCAGTGTTGGAATTTGTTTTATTTTGAACAAGGAAAACACGGGGAGGCAATGAACCTACGTTGGTGGCGCGAACACGCATGCGCACATCGACTTTGTTGATGTTTCATAAAAAATGTCTCACCCACAAACCAAATATTCAGAAAGGTCAAGCAAGCAAGTTGCAGTCTTGGAAACCTAGCCATCTTATTATTTATCTGTTCTTTTTTTAGGTTGCAGGGCTTGCCGTGTTTCTGTGTTCTCCGGCAGCAGACCAAATTACTGGTGCTAGTATTCCCATTGATGCTGGTCGCTGGGTTAAATAGATAGTTATAGTACACTAATTCCAATGTCATTAAGTAGAACGTATTGAACATCGATTGTATACATGTATCCAAATTAAACTGAAAGTTAAATAAATACATAAGAATATATACTACTTATTTTGTATTTACAAATACAACTTTTCTCTTTCATTCGTTTTTGTGATAAACGTACACAACTTTAACGTAAGCTTCATTATTTTTATATCGCCCTCTAAGGTCAGATTATGGCATTGTTCAAGATTTTACAACGTATATCATCGTAACTTTGATAGCTTAAAGGCGAAGTGAGATAATCGTTCACTGTTTATTGTACAACACATTATTTAAAATGTATGCCTTTCATATGGTTAGACTGGCACATTGTTAGCATTGAGTTTTATCTATTGACGAAATTAATTGAGTTCATAAATATATTAGAAACAACTCAAGTATATGTGAATTCACAGAAAACGCTTTTTCGAATACCACGGAAAAAAATGAAAGATGCAGCAATCAGTTGCATTTTTCGATGCACAGTTCTGAACGTTGGTTAGCTTACCTGAATACAGAAAATGTAGTGTACGCGTTTCCAATCGCCCATGGTCCACGACTCTGTTTTGACCATTTCTAATGTGCCGAGAACATCCATCATAATGTGTGGTTTGTACCATACATTTAGTCTTTTTTTTCCCATAGTTACCAGGAGTGGTATAACTATGCATATTCTAATATGATCGGTTTTGTATAATAATGAAATCTCAGTATAAACTTTGCACAGACTAGTGTTAATAATTATGTTGATATGTGTTTTAGTGAAATCATACATACCTTATAGCTAGTAGGCATCCTTCGGGAGGGGGCGCTTTTGGCTAAAGAATTTGAGGTTTTCGCCAAAATGAACAAAATTCAGCTAAAAATTGTGCGCGAATACGATCGACTCGACCTTGAAAATGAAGGTCAAAACAGCGGCGAATACCCACATCCTTCTACACACATACTTCCCACCCCGGGAGACAACCATACGTCAGGTTGCCAGCTATCTGTGCAGTATGTGACGATTGGTCTTTATTTGTAATTCAATATTTTTGTCATTAGCAGATAACAGCTGAAAATATTGAAAAACAAAACCTTCGCAAACAAAATCAGAAGCGTTAAAAATTAGTGACATACACAGATCTTGGGCATAATTCATGTAATTCAGTCTATCGCGTACACTAAAAATTCGGCTGATCTGCACTGGCTCGGAAGATGAATTCTGATTGGCTAAAAAAAACAAAAAAACTTGTGGCGTTGAATGCACGTTCATTGTCAGTATTGTTATGCAAATTCAAACTAGCTAATCATTTACAACCTTCCGAGCCAGTGCAGATTATCCCTAAAAATTAAAAATATGTCACATATATTTCTGGAAACAAAAAATCAAACAATATCTGATCAGTCTGCACATTCAATAGACTGATTTGAAAAAAAACTAATGGCTATACTCTACTCTATGTATAAAGCACTTAGTAGGATGCTCCAAGCAAGGTATTATCGCTATACAATTCAGACAATTGTTGAGGTATTTTCTCGAGTCTGTTGTAGAACTATGGCGGTATTGTTTTTCATTTTCAGTTGCCTAGCAATATGGAAACAACGTTGTTAATAGACACGCGATGTATATGTACGCTGAATGGCTCCGGTCGGTTAAACCAACATTTTAAAAAAGGTTGTAACATTGTCAAATCGGTATATATTAGGTAGATGTATATATTCTTACACAATTGTTGCACGTTATTCGAGTTGTTGCTAAAAGAATACAGATCACATATATTATATTATTCATGCCGACTAAATGAAAATCCCATAAAATAAACAACTGTCTCGTATTATAAATAGAATATTCTACTTTGATGTTGGTTCTTAAATTTTCCCACCCAAATATTCTAATGTGATTCAAAACGTGTGAATCTATGTTTACCACAACCTGGAACCTAGAGGTGAGATTTCACAAATATTGTTCTGTAAAAAGATTTTGTACTTTTAAACGTTCCTGTCCTCGAACAGAAATATAAGTTGTACATAGAAAACGTCTGTTTATGCTTGTAGCTTTTATAATACTACAATATGTGTTTCCAATCTGGTATTTGCAGAGAAAAAGAGCGTTGTTACTGAAAATAAGACGCGCCACAGGGTTTAACCACATTCACTGTGTTGGTGCATACTCGTGTTTATGTCCGATAATGAATGCCCATTGCACGACATATCACTATATATGCATAAATATATTTGATAAATAATATTAATGTCTACTATTTGGACTCGTTACCTAATTCTAAACAAATACATTCTGAGTAAAACATACTTTTATTGGATAACTAAGCGTGAACCTATGTAGTTATATGAGGTAATTTGGATCACGTTTTGCAGATACTAAAATGGTCACTTACTTTACAAATCAAACAAATTACAATTATAGATCACGATGTTGCCTTCTTTGTTCTGAATGAAAAGATGTAAATAATTTGCAACTGATATTGATTAACTAGAAACAAGCAGGTACGATGCACAAAAAAGATGGAGCTGTTTTAGACAAAAAATAAGGCGGCAATAAGTTTTATTATTGCTGTAATTGTTGCTTTAGTCAAAAAGAAAGATTGCATGCCTCAAAATGGACAACAAATGCAATTGGACAATAGAATAATTACAAGATATATGAGAAGTTTTTAACGTTGTTATTGTCTGAAGACAGAAATGAATTAAAATCTCTTGCAGCCTTTCCTTTTCATTCACTTAAATTACGTTATGAAATTTATAAACACAGTGTGTGACATTACTGTTTTTGTTACTTTATATTTTATTTATAGTTTATGTATTTTAGGCCGCAGGCCTTTGATTGTAATAAAGACCTTATTTGTGTTTAAAAACAATAATTATAAAATGTTTTGTATGTTTTCCAATATTTTGGGGGCACACCTCTCGATGAAACCAAATTATTTTAACTATATGTTTCCCAAAGCTGTTGTGTATTTAAGATTATTATAATTTGTCTACTCAAAAATTATAATGTTTACCTGAAAAAGTCCATTTACCAAATTATCCAAAGATCTTGTTATGTATTTCAAAAAGCTGTAGAATGCCAAGTTTGTAGAATTCCACACCAATAACAATATTTCCTTGGTTAGCTAACCTGAAACATTAGAATTCAACAAACATAGATTCATCTATCAAGACATATATCACTGGCAATTAAACGTGTCTGACTATTCTATTGTACGCGACCTATTTTTGCCTAGTGTCACAGTGTAAGGCCTGCTTATTGCAATTGAGAGGGCATTCCACAGAAATCACACTGAACAGAGGTTCTTTCACTGCTAGAATGGGGTAGACAATACAATAGTACTGGAAATTAATACACATACACCGAAATATCGAGTTTAAGTTCCTGGCTTTAATGCCTCTCAAAATATTTACACAGATGATTCAACAGGTGAATGTAGTTACTGATATAAATTCTCCTGATATATTTCTGGAAACAAAAAATCAAACGATACCTGCTCAGTCTACACATGCAATAGCCTGATTTGAAAAAAAAAACTAGTGGCTATACTCTACTCTATGTATGAAGCACTTAGTAGGATGCTCCAAGCAAGGTATTATATAATTCAGACAATTGTTGAGGTGTGCGACCTCTGGGCAAATTTTTCGCGAGTCTGTTGTAGAACTATGGCGGTACTGTTTTTCATCTTCAGTTGCCTGGCAATATGGAAATACTCTAAAAATAACAGTGCTCCCTTGCTTCCAGTTACTTCACACCATTCAATTATTTCACTTATGAAACGAATGTTATCTGTAATACGCCTGCCCTTAATGAAGGCAGACTGATCTTCGTGGATAATAAATGGTATCACTTGTCTTTCAATCTAGCAGTTATACAATGGCTTGCCAACTTATAATTAGTATTTAGTAGTGAAATGGGTCTCCAATTCATGATATGTAGTACATCTTTCCCAGGCTTTGGTAATAGAGTAATCCCTGCTTGTTTTGGGGGTTACAGAGAGATACATATTTGGACTGCTCTTAAGTGCTTAAAGTAGCTCATCTTTAGTAATCTCCATTTCGCAAATACGCGATTGTTCTTGATTTAGAGCTGGAATATGCTATATTTCAAGAAATTGGCAATTTACATTGTTTTCAGGGATTGTTTTGGAGTTCAGGGGTTCATGGAATTCTTATATCACTTTTTAAATCTTTTCCGAATCTGTGATATCCGAACCCCCTTGTTTGTCAATGGACTTTTTTTATAATTGTTTTTTCTAAACTGAGAAAGTATTTGTTATTATTTTCCTCATGTTGGTACCAATTTACTCGTGATCGAATCATAGACCACTGTGTTTGTTGTGCAACTAATATCCCTAGTTCATTTTTAATCTTTTCATATTCTATTGAAATATCATTATCGAGTGTTTCATCGATGTGTTCTTCCAATTTCTTGGTTAGACTATTCTCTTTGATGTACAAATTCCTTTGCCTAATTTTGCTGAAAATAATACCTGAAGATATTCAAAAGTCTGTGGAGCATTGTATTTTAAAAGAAAACATTCTACCAAAATAAAAGCATTGTTTTCTTCCAAATAAGCTTCATCGATTATTGGGCTGTTATTTAACTCCAAAATCCCGGCACTCTTTCTGGATCGGGTTTTTCAAAACTTATGGTGATCATGCTATGGCCAGTACGAATGCTTGGTGCGATGTTACAGTTTTTGACCGCGTTAAGTAAACGTTCTGGAACCAAATTGATAATCTGGAACCTGAATTTCTGCGCCTCCAAGTGAATCGAAAATTTGATGGGTTAAGTTTTCCATATAGGTCAGCTAATTTTAAAGCATCCATCAAATTGTAAATCGTTCTTCTAGCAGGCCCTTTATTATCAAGTCTACTCGCATGTTTATCAATAATCTGGTCTAAGATTACGTTAGTCTCCTGCAATAAAACAGTTTGAGTGAGAGAAGTTAAAATTAATTTTATATTTAGGCTCAGTG